GATTTTTGTTTACATTTTCCAGTTCAAGTCATACACACAGAAAGAGAGAGAGAGAGAGAGAGAGAGAGAGAGAGAGAGAGTCTGGTTGGCTTGACTAAGAAGGACACAATGTTTATTCAGGACTTTTGATGGGGGCGCTGGCCAGCTCATGGAACAGGGGCATGACGGGTACTTTCCAGAAGAGGGCGCCAGGCACCACACCTTCAGGAAGCAAGAACGCTATCCTGTGCCTTATAGCCTGAGTGCTGCCGAGGTGAAAACAGAGTGGATGGTATTTTCTTGTAGCCTTGTTCTACTTTGTATTTTCTCTTAAATTCAGCCGCTTTTCTCCACTATGCATCGTGAGCTCTTCTCAGCTTTCATCACAACCCAAGCCGGGGACACCCTTTCCCTCTCTTAATTGCATTATGTACCTTCTAAAACCATTTATGCATTTACTCATCTATTTACTCAATATTTATGGAGTACTTGTTTTCTAACAAGTACAATACTAGACAATGAAGACATAAAATTCATCCATTTGCTTGATAAGTGTTAATTGAATACTTACAAAATGCCAAGCATTATGCTACTTGCTGGGAATAAAAAGATAACTAAGACAGTCCCTGCCTGATACCTACTAAGAAGTCAATAAATGCTTGTTGAAAAAATAAATGTCTTAAAAGATCTCACAGCCTAGTGAGGGAGAGAGGCAAGGATTTAGGCAATTACAAGCAGAGTAAAAAGGGCTATCTTGGGGAAAGTTCCCCGGGAGAGAGGCCTGGAGAGAACAAAATAGTCGTCCTCTGGGAAGTTCCGGTAATGTCTACACTGAGACCTGATGGTGAGTTGAGTTAGACACGTGAGAGGAATGAGGAGGTATGGGCCTTCAGGCAGGCAGCACAGAAGCCAGGTACAAAGGCTTGGAAGTGAGGGAGGGGCTGCAACTGGGAATGGAGAGCAAATAAAGCAGTGCGATTATGATTTTAGGGACTGGATAGAAGTCTGTACATGGGACAGTACAGGGTTCTTGATTTAAACACAGGTCACATTGAGTGTCTGAAGTTCCCCTAGGACCTTGTTGTTGCTGAGTGCATCCAGTTAGCAGAGGAGCATGGAGATGATCGGGCAGTGGTATGTACCACTCCCACTCATATCCTTTTGACAAGAGCTAAATCACCAGGGTTCTCTTAACTGCAAGACAGGTTGGGAGAGGTAGTCTACCTATGCTTCCAAGAAGGAGAGATTTTCATGGCAGCTAGAACCTCAGAGAAAAGTTTCTAGGGAGTGGGCAGATGGAGAGTTGTGCGGGCATTCCTGATTCAGCTCATCCAAAGTGTCTGATGACAGCTTCCAGGGAGGGGGGGGTAGATGGGCAGAGAGACATGACACAAGACTTGAGGAAACCTCTGGAATCCAGGGCAACACTGATTAGTCCAAGGCATGCCAGGCAGTCTTGTGGGATGTAAGATCTTATCTTCCAAAAGGAGATTTGAAACTGCCCAGTCTAGAGTCAAAGGAGGGTTTCAAGTAAGCGATTGTTGAGAACTGTGAAGGGTTTAAAATTTTACTTGCAAGCTAACAAGTTAGATCATCACAAATTCATAGATGCTGATAGAGAAATGAGATGCCAGGGTCAGAGATAAAGGACTTTATAATTCACAGGGATAGCAGTAGCCAGAGAACCAGCATTTTCTTCCATCAGCTTCCCAAGGTCAATCCCCACAGGGTGAAACAAATGGGAAGAGGTGACACCTGCACAGGTGGTGGTCTGTGTTACAAGAGAGAAAGCCTGAACTTAGGGAAGCTGAATCTTTTATAATGGGCAGTAAACACGCCTGCTCCCGGTTCTGAAGGGTGACACTGTATCTTCCAACATGTCAGCATATGTGCTCTTTAATCTGGAGGGAGACATAATCTCTATTGTCAAAGGCTGTTCACTTTACGAACATTCTTGAAAAGATAATCTGGAACAAAGGCAGTCTGTGCCTTGCTTGCAAGATGTGCAAAAATTGGAGAATCGTCTTTCAACAAAGATAGGTTCCTTTTTAGCAAGAAGGAGTGTTCTTTAGAGAGCAGCTTCGTTTACTTGATCCTTCTCCTCCTGAGCTCTAAATACTGGTTGGACCCAAGGCTCAGTCTTCAGAGCGCTTCCCTTTCTTGAGGATCTCATTCAGCCTGATATTTTTTTAAATTTTTTTATTGGGGAACAGTGTGTTTTTCCAGGACCCATCAGCTCCCAGTCAAGTAGTTGTTTCAGTCTAGTTGTGGAGGGCATGGTGATCTAACTGGCAACCTTAGTGTTATGAGCACTGCGCTCCAAACAATTGAACTAACGGGCCACCCTCATATTTTTAGATGTTATCAGCCTCATATCTTTAAATTCATGTTGAAGATCCCAAATTTACACCTGATAGTTCAACATCACCTCATTTGTAGACTCAGGTATCAAACTGCCTATGTGACACCTTCACTTGGTTATCTTCTAGATGTTTCAAAATTAACATGTTCTTGAGTCCCATCCTCCATATGAAACCTGATCCTTCCCCAGAGTAACCTTTCACAAGAAAGAATAACCTACACTCAGTTGCTCAAGCCAGGAATTTCTGTTTCTTCCATAGCTACGTCAAAGCACATCCTGTTTTCAAATTACATTCTGTCTGACTACCTCTACCCTCCAGCATCACCAACTTCTTAATCCCAACTACCTTGTCTCTTTCCTAGACAGTAACCGTAAATTCCTAATTGGTCTCTCACCTTCCAATCTTGCCCCATACATTCTAACCTCTGAGGAAGCTAGAGTGACTCTTTCAAAATGTAAATTAAGTAATATCATTCCTCTGCTTCCAATGACATTCCAATACATTTAAAATAAAATTCAAGGTCAACAATACATGTGATCTGACCTCTGCCTCTCAATCTGACCTCATCTGCTACCACCCCTCCCTCCCATCTTGTCCTCCACTGTCCTTGAAAATGCCCAGCGTTAGGCTGTTTCAGGGCCTTTGCACTTTGTTGCCCAAGTCATTTAGGGTTCTGTCAGATGTCAGCTGAGCAGAGAGAAATCCTTTCTGACTATCCTAAATAAAATAACACACCCTTTCTATCCCTCTTCATAATTTTTCATAGCCCTTATCGCAGCCCGAATTTAAGAATCTGTCTCCCCACTACTGCTCCCCAACCTAGAATATATGCTTCATCTGTCAAGTATTAGGCTTTGCTCATTGACATATTCTCTGCTTCTAGAGAAATGCTTGGCACAAAGTAGATGTTCAATAAATGCTTGTTGAATGACTAGATTAATAAATGTACAAATAAATGAAAGCTAATACTGGATTAAAAAAAATGGAAGCAATATCAGGGACACAGATAATTCTTGCCTCAATCTTTCTTCTTCAAGCTAAATCAACTGATTTCACATACTGGATTTTTCTCCCCAAAGGCACACTTCTAATTCTTTAATAATTCTGGTTTCTCTACAGGATGCTTGCCATGTTCTTCTAGGTTCTTGTGTATGATGGAGTTTCAAAATTGAACATAGCCTTCTGAGAAGAAACTGAACAGTCTATAATTAATTTTCCTTTCTTCACAGGTTTCAAATGCTTGCTTAGAAATGCACTTTTAAATGATAATTTTCCAGAATTTAAGCCCAGCCACAAAGAAGCCTACCTAAGGTCAGATAGGTTGGAGAGTAACAAAGTGAATATTTGATTCTTACCTCTTTGTAGTCTCTACAAATCCCAAAACATCCTCTTGAATACATTAGGAAAATATATGTAATCAACCTCATGAATTTAGCCATAGATTGTATAGATTTTAAGTTTGTCACTCTTTTTTTTTTTTTTTAAGATTTTTATTGGGGAATTGGGGGATAGGAACAGTGCTGGGAAATTGGGGGAAGGGGGACAGACAAGTTGCTGTCCTTTTGTTCTTCAGTCTAGTTGTGGAAGATGTTGCTTCACTGACCCAAGTTGGCACCATCATTGCGCTCTTCCCGGGCGAGGCAGATCAGTCGCCGGCTTCTGGACGACTGCTCACTGCGGCTGCTGGCCGCTCATGCTGGCTGCTGGGTACATACGGTAGCCCATGGCAACCCACTGCCACAGGGGCTGCAGCCTACGCCGTCGCCGGCGACTCACGGCAGCCCAGCTCCAGGTTGAGCTGTTGTTCAGCATCTTAGCTGTAGAGGGCAGTGTCACTGGCCCTCATATGTGGGATCCGAACCGGGGCCCTCTAGCGTCCCAAGCCAGTTCTTTTTTTTTTTTTTTTAAGATTTTTATTGGGGAATTGGGGGAATTGGGGGAAGGGGAACAGACAAGTTGCTGTCCTTTTGTTCTTCAGTCTAGTTGTGGAGGACGTTGCTTCACTGGCCCAAGTTGGCACCATCATTGCGCTCTTCCCGGGCGAGGCAGATCAGTCGCCGGCTTCTGGACGGCTGCTCACTGCGGCTGCTGGCCGCTCATGCTGGCTGCTGGGTACACATGGCAACCCACTGCCACAGGGGCTGCAGCCTACACCGTCGCCAGCGACTCACAGCAGTCCAGCTCCAGGTTGAGCTGTTGTTCAGCATCTTAGCTGTAGAGGGCAGTGTCACTGGCCCTCATATGTGGGATCCGAACCAGGGGCCCTCTGGCGTCCCAAGCCAGTTCTTAACCATTGCACCACTTGGCTGGCCCTTAAGTTTGTCACTCTTTTGTTCAACAAATAACTGCGTCTTCTGTGCCAGGTAGTGAGCTGGAAGCTGGGGCAGTACCTGAAAAAGAACACTTGGTCCCTGTCAGGAGGGGTTCAGAGCCTTGGGCACCTCTGTTTCTGTTCCCATTGCTGTTGTTTTGAGACTAACTCTGGTCAAATTTCATTTTAATATATTATATTTATTTCCAATATTGCTTTTTAAATAAGAGTTTTATAGTTATGGGAAAATGTCTTTCATCTAATTTGAAAAACAAGGGAGCACAATGTTTTGCTTTCCCTAACCCTCCTTCTAAATTGACTTTAAAACAATAATTTTTATTTTTCAGGGTTCATTTCAATTCTCTGAATAGGATTTCACAATGGAATACAAAAACCTCAGGTATTTTATTTTAGCTCATTTAAAAAATTCTCCTTACATATAAGTTAGATATTTGTGCTTTATTTATCATCTTGACTGTTTTTATTAAATTAAAATTATTTTAGAAACAACTTTAAATCATATTTTAATTGCTCTTTTGACTTTTCATGGACCAATATTTACTAAATATTTACCAATATTTATGAACTTCCTCTAGGATGCAGAGAGAATAGAATTTACACAAAAATATCTACTGAATGAATTCCCCCACCTTCTTGGTGATTGTACACCTGCCTTCCTTATAAGGAGAACAAGGAAGTAAATCATGTTGAAGTTGCTTTTAAGCACACCTTTTCTTCTTTACCTGTCCAGGTAGCCTCTGTTTTCATTTCAGTCTTAATGAAAACTTTTTTATTTACGTCTCAAGTTTCTTTTCAAAGCAGTGTAAGTAGTATTTAACATTTTACACTTTGAGAAAGGAAGACTTTTAACACTGTTCAGCTTTGGTCTTGTAATGTTGAAGGTAATTCTTTTTTTTTTTTTAAATCTGTTTGCACAGCGAGAACTGAAACGAATGGGGATTGAACTGCTTTGCCTGTTCTTTCTATTTCTAGGAAAGAATGATCACGTACAAGGTAAGACTGAAGCTTTCGGAAATATTGCTTTCGTGATATGCTTGACAAACCTGTCATTTGGTTCAGAAACTAGATCTGAAGTCATTTTTTATTTGATCTGTTTGATTGCTTTTTTGCCATTGAGCGAACACTTTAACAAATCACAGGCAGACAGAGGGCTGTTCCCACAGCAAATTCTCTGGGCTTAAGGTAAATAAATACAAAGCTTGCATTGGCATTTTAATGAGGAGAATTAAACAGCATTACTGCACAATAGAACTCCTTAATACCTTTGTGGGAACCATTTTGGTAACTTTCCTAGCTATTTGATTGTACAGCAAGGACTTCCACTTAAGAGTAATAACCTTGAGAGAGAAAAGGGATTTAGTTTAAACACAGAAATGTAGTACATTGAAGAGAGAAGTCTTTTAAAATGGGTGCCAATAATCTTTTTAAATTAAAGTGGATGGTAATGAATGAGGATAATAAATATGATGACCCCATGTTTGCGAACATTAAGATATTTTTATAGTTTAAGAAGAAAAGAATGATCCTTCCTGGGCAATGAGGCATGTATGTTTTCAACGTGATAGATGTAAAATATGAACTTTGCTATGAATTGCTAGCATTTGAGGACTGATCTTTGAAGACTAAAATACACTTTGGTATTGCTTTGTTAAGTACTTTAAGAGCCATAAGTCTGGGAAATGGAGTGACTGAGAGTGTGCTGACTGTCCGTGTCTTGCTGGGTTTAAACACAGGTGGCTGTGCCACGGGAGGTGCAGAAGCCTGTGAAGACTGCTTACTCATTGGACCTCAGTGTGCCTGGTGTTCTCAGGAGGTAAAATAAATGATCTCAACATGTTTGTAAAAACTGCAGTTCCACTTACGTTAAAGCCCTCAGTGGTTGCTCTGATGGTGTCCTGCTTTCTACGGGGTTATAGCAGTGAAACAAATGGAGAAAGGGAAATGCACGCATGAGTCACATCCGTGACTACTTTCAAAAGCAATTTGCAGAGGGAGTGAATGTCAAATTATTCTGAAAAATATTTAACTCGGGATCCTTTATTTAACCTGACTCCTCCTGTTATTTTAAAGCCATTTCCTAACTGCTTGCATATCAAATGCCAAGGCTTGGGTCATCAGAGGTCATGGAGATGATATTTTTCTAAAGCTAACCATATGTTTGACTTCAGTACCATCGATGTATTCCATCTGGGAGCCAGGGTCCATTCTGAATCACTGCTAGGTTCTAAGGGAAGTGTTGTAGGTTTGGGGTAAACTTTACTGTTCAAACATTATTCAGTTCTTTTAAAAATTACATTTACATGAGCTTCTTGACTCTGTACCATAACAATGACAAAGTCCAAAACTGACATTCCTCATCTGATCAAACTGAAAATGATGTGAAAGTAGTATAAGAAGACTGGGGAATGTATAACAAGCCATCATGAGTCACAGCCTCTTGTGACAATATAGAGCAATCTGTAAATGATTCTTGGTAAGAAAGAGCTGCCTTAGCTCTTTCTGGATTTAAAACAGTTCTCTACTGAATCCCACTAAGAGACTCTAAACATCAATTAAAACATTACCAAAGCCAGTTTCAGCAAGGGCTGATATCATGCTCAAGAGGAACAAGCCTGGACGCCCGACTCTGGACCAGGCTAGACTGTTAAAACCCACCTCCCAAGGTGAATATGTCTCGTGGAGGAGGTCTCACTGACCACAGAGCACAAACTCAGCGCCCTCCCTACGTTGACTGATGGGGCACAAACAAAAGTGCGAGGGAGTTATGCTTTCCTTAAGCTCGTGTATCAAAAGTTGGTTTGATAATATGCCAAGGGGGAAAAACAACAACATTTTTTTTACATTGACTCCCTGAAAAAGGCAGTATTAGTTTCATGTCAGAGACATAAAACAATAAATCAGTCTAACAAAATGCTCACTTCTGGAATTTTTATTTAACTGCATTTTTTTAGCACTTACGTTAAGAGAGTTTCTTAAGTCACTACTGATAGCTTTACTTGTGGATGATACCCGGTAGCCAGTTATCATCAAATCTTAAAGCCAGATTATTCTAAAAGTTCACTCTAATAGTATTAGTTATATAAGTTGAGGCAATTGAAGCAAAAAGCAAATTAGGCTTCTGCTTAGAGCAGACAGAAAATAAGCTCTGTGTTAACACCAGCTCTGATCTTTCGGCAAAGACTGTGATTACAGGTGGTAACAGTGACACTGTGTTGAGAAGGATTCTGAGGCCTGATCCAGCCTGTTTGCCTCCAATACATCATGGGAAGTTACAGTTTGCTACATTTGGCCTAGGGCCGCAAATACGCACAGGCCTGACTGACACATAACAAATTATATTCTCAAGCATCAATTCCAGAAGAAATGTAACTCTCCTAGTTGGTGAAAACAGCAAGTGACTTAGAATTCTCATTTCAATTCTAAGAAATGAGGGAAATGATATGAGCATTGGTTTGCCTCTCTCCAAGCATGAGAGTCAAAGGGCCTCAAGTTTGACTTTGCTTAGAGCCTCACAAGCTCTAGAGCAGCCTTAACTATCAGGTAAGACAGGTATTTGTCTCTCCACTCCATCTTTATTTTCCGGGCATTGTAGGGTTGGAATGACCACGTCTCTGCCTGGAAACATTCATCTCACTGCTTCCTGACCCAAGGTGGATCTAAACGGGACTGGGAAACATCCTGAGTCTCACACAAAAAAGCAGTCCTCTATACCATATTCTCTTTCACTTCCTTTCCCCACCTCCAAAGCTTGGAAAAAGTTCTAAAAGACCTTGAATTGAACACTTTAAGACACCCAGTTTAAAGTCTCCAAGAGGTTAACTTTAGTGAAGGAATGCTGTTAACATAAGGATGACACATCCATGAATTAAACCAGGACAGCAAGCTAGATAAGGAGTTGTCACAATCCTTGCCCTTTGGGAATTCACAGAAAAGGCTCTTTGTCACTGGATTTTGTAATAGATACCCTGATAGCTTGGACAGTCCTAGGATTCGCCAAACCTACAAGTCATCTGTGACAAATTCACAGGCTGATGTCAACTGTATAACTCATCTGTCTCAAGGATATGGTCATGGCACAGAAGACGTTTTAAACAAATAAGCATTAAAAAAAACCTGTTATATAAATTCAATTGAATATAATAAAAAGAAGAATGCAGTTTTACTCAGAATTTTAATGGCAGAATTCTCTGATTCTTCTTCTATAACTTGAGACATACGATCAATGTCAGGCACACAGGATATGATTTACTGAGCATGGCAAGATGCCTAACGAGCAAAGCAAGCAAAATAAAATTTTATCTTATAAAGAAGTGCAGATTTGTCTTATTTTTCTCTTTTAGAATTTTACCCATCCGTCTGGAGTTGGTGAAAGATGTGATACCCCAGCAAATCTTTTAGCGAAAGGATGTCAACTAACCTTCATCGAAAACCCTGTCTCTCAAATAGAAATACTTACCAATAAGCCTCTCAGTGTAGGCAGACAGAAAAATAGCTCCAGCATTGTTCAGATTGCACCTCAAAGCTTGATTCTTAAATTGAGACCAGGTATGTTATGATTTACATGAGCATTGGCTCATGTAAATAAATCTAATGTTATACGGTAATACCATTGTTCCATTAATATGCCTACCTTGTAGCATATTACATATCATTGATTATTATCACTCAGGTTTCCCATTCTTAAGGAAATAGAGAATCGCTAGGCTAACACTTTTTTTTATTCACATTGGTCACTTGTGCTCCAAATGTGTTACTGAAAAAGCCTTATCTGGTAGTCACCACTTGAATTGCTCAAATGTTGTTAGGGTTTACCTCACATTTCTTCAAGAGTTGTAATGTAGCTTTAAATACCTTTTTATTTTGCTCTTCTTTTCTAAAACCACGTACAAAAAAAAATTCAGCTTATCTTTCATCTAAATGGATGCTAGTTCTCCCAAGGAGATATAAAATATCCTAACTCTTACCTCCTTCAGCTGCTCTAAACACACTGCTGAAAGATTTTTAATGGGCTCATTCATTTATAAACTTGACCACATAGTTTATGAAATCCTAAATATCTTCAGTAACTTCTTATTGAAATGAAATAGCCAGCTGACCCAGAGACTGGCTAGTCCTAAATAAGTCACGATGCCTTTTTACGGATTTGTTTCTCTTTGCCGTGGGGGCTTTGCAGGCAGTGAACAGACTCTTCAAGTGCAAGTTCGTCAGACTGAGGATTACCCGGTAGACTTGTATTACCTCATGGACCTCTCAGCCTCCATGAGTGATGACCTCAACACAATCAAAGAGCTGGGCTCCCTGCTTTCCAAGGAGATGTCTAAATTAACTAGCAACTTTAGACTGGGCTTCGGCTCTTTTGTGGAAAAACCCGTCTCTCCTTTTGTGAAAACAACACCAGAAGAAATCGCCAACCCTTGCAGGTAAGTAAATGACTCTCTGGCATCTTTGAACATTGATTTTCTGTAGAGATATCCCTGCTCTGAGTTACACTTGGCAGGAGCTTACTAACTCCCCGGCATTTCCCTCCTGTCTGGTTTGATCTCAGCAGCTCGCTCAGTTGCTTGGGTTTTTCAGAAGCAAGGGGAAATCATCTTAATACATGGTTCTAGCTTTGGGTCCTTGCAGCATCTGTGTAGGACAGGATGTGGCAAATGTGGCTTTGTGTTCTGCAGACAAGGGGATTGAGTCTTTCACTATAGGTTCCACTGACCTGTGCCCATTCCCAGGCCCTTTGAGACCTTCTATCCTCAATGACCACCACTTTCTGTGGCCATTTGACAGTAGCACACACTTTCTCAGAGTATCTTTTTCCATACAATGACTTCTGCCAAGAGTCACATTTTTTTGCAGCTTCCTGGGACATACTTTGGGAAATGTGTGTTTCTCTTCTTTGAAGGAGGCCTTTGCAGGCTTCACTGCTGCCAAATTCAGTAGGAAATTAGGCAGTGACTCCATTCTAATATACAATAATCAGCTATTAAGACAGCATATTATTCAGCTGATGGCCAAGGGCGAGTTGCTTTATGTCTTACCTGTCCAGTCAATGACATGTTCAAAATAAAATTTAATGTATCTATTGAAAAAGAGCTACAATTTGGCCTGTGCCAGACCCTGTGCTGAGGTTTTACATTCATGACCTCATTCAGTCTTCATAATAACAACAAGTCAAAGCAGATTCCATTATCCCTGCTTTGAGAGGTTAATAATTGCCCAAGGCCACATGACTAATCAGCGATCTGTACTAAGATCTGCATTGGTCCAAAACTAAGCCCTTTACTACTATGAATCTAGTGTATATGAAATGACTTTCCAACCCCCCAATGCCTTTTTTTTTTAATTTAAAGATTTTATTGGGAATTGGGGAAGGGGAACAGTGTTGAGGAATTGGGGGAGGGGAACAGCCAAGTTGTTGTCCTTCAATCTTAGTTTTGGAGGGCGCAGCTAGTTCCGCTCCCAAGTCCAGTTGCCATCCAGCCACCTGTTGGCAGCTCTTGGCCGCTCAGCTCAAGGTTCCATGTTCAATCTTAGTTGCAGGTGGTCGTAGCCCACCATCCCATGCGGGAGTCGAACTGGCAACCTTGTTGTTAGGAGTTCAGCTCAGGTGCAGCTCAGGTGTAGGTTTGGCCCATGTGGGAATCAAACCTGTGACCCGGTTGCTCAGAGCTCGCGCTCTTAACCAACTGAGCCACTCAGCTGGCCTCCCATTGACTTTTAGTACTTGTATACAGCCCAGGCATCAGTCTCTATAAAAGACAAACTAATTTTTTTTAATTAAAATTTATTGGGATGACAGTGGTCAGCAAAACTACATAGGTTTTAGGTATACAATTCTATAATACATCATCTATATATCACATGTGTGTTCACCACCCAGAGGCAATTCTCCTTCCATCACCATATATTTGACCCCCTTTACCCTTATCTACCCCCTTCCCTGCCTTACCCTCTGGTAATCTCTAAACTGTTGCCTATGTCTATGAGTTTTTGTTTATTTGCTTGAAAAGACAAATCAATTTTGTAATATCATTTTAAGATGTTACAGTGTGGTTCCCAACTAGACTCTGACATAGCCAAAAATTATTTGACCCTGAAAAGGATTCACCACTGATTATAACGGTTAGGAATTGTGCTTGGTTGCAAGTATCAAAGATAGTGTCTGTCCCTCGCTGGCTTTTTTTTTTTTAGGTATAATTGACATGTACTAAAACACACACATCAGAAATGTTCAGTTTGATGAGTTTTGAATATACCAATGTAATCACCACTTAAAACATGATGTGGAACATTTGTATCACCTTGGAAAGTTCCCTGATGCCCCATTACAATCAGTTCTACTTCTCCTGAGGCAACATTCCTTGGTTTCTATAATTTAGCTTAGTTTTGCCTATTCAGGGATTTTATATAAATGGAGCAATGTAGTATGTACCTTCTGTGTCTGCCTTCTTTTGTTCAAAATATTTTTGAGTTTCACCCATGATTTTGTGTTTATCAGCAGCTTGTTCCTTTTTAAGTAATAGTCCATTGAATGGATTTACTACACTTTTTTATTCATTCTTCTATTGGTGTACATTTTGGTTGTTTCCCATTTTTTGGCTATCATCGAAAGTGTTGTTATAATCACTTGCATATAAGTCTTGTGTGGATATATGCTTTTATTTCTCTTGGATAGACACCTAGAATTGGAATTGATGAATTGCATGATAAGTATAGTTTTAATTTTTTAAGAAATTATCAAATTATGTTCCAAAGTGGATGTACCATTTTGTATTTTCATCAGCAATGTGTGAGGGTTTTAGTTATTCCAAATCCTTGCGAACACTTGGCATTGTCAGTCTTTTTAATTTTAGCGATTCTAATAGGTATGTATCTCATTGTAGCTTTAATTTGCATTTCCTTAATGACAAATAATGTTGAGAATTTTTTCATGTGTTTATTTGACATTCCTGTACCTTATTTTGTGAAATATCTTTTCAAATATTTTGCCCACTTTTAAAAATTAGTTTGTTTTCTTCACATTATAGTTTATGAGTTCATTATATATTCTAGATAAAAGTTCTTTGTTTAATATATGTTTTGCAAATATTTTCACCCAGTATGTGGATATATTTTTATTTTTCTAGCAATGTCTTTGGTCAAGCCAAAGTTTTTAGGTTTGATGAAGCCCAATTTATCCATTTTTTATTTTATGGTTAGTGTATTTGTTGTCCTAAGAAATTTTTGTCTACTGTAATGTCACAAAAATTCTTCCTATGTTTCCTTCTAGAAGCTTTCATGGTTGAAGTTCTTGCAGTTATGTCTATGGTCTCCAATTAGTTTTTGTATTTGGAATGAGGAAAACGTCTAGGTTCATTTTTTTGCTTCCATGCAAATATACAATTGTTCCAGCACTATTTGTTAAGCAAGATTTTCCTTTCCCCATTGAATTATCATGATGCCTTTGATAAAAAGCAATAGACTGAATATGTGTAAATCTAATCCTGGGAACACTATTCTGTTCCATTGAGCCATTGAATATACCTGTGTAGCCACTAATGTCTTATAGTCTTGATTACTGTAGCTTTGTAAAAATTCTTGACTTTGGGAGTATATGTCCTCCAGCTTTGTTGTTCATTTGTTTTGGCTATTCTAGATCCTTTGCATTTCCACAGAAATTTTAGAGTCATCTTGTCAATTTTTTCAAAAAGTATCCTGAGATTTTTATTACAATAGCATTGAAACCAGACATCAATTCAGGGAAAATGGCTATCTTTATAATAGTGAATATTCCAGTCATTGCCCATTACATATATTTCCATTCATTTAGATCTTGTCTCATTTCTCTCAGCAATGTTTCATCATTTTCAGGGTAGAGATCCTACATATCCTTTGTTTGATTTATTCCCATGGACTTTTTAATGCTATTGTAAATGGTATTTTTAAAACATTTATTTTCTATTTGTTTATTGATAACTTGTAGAAATGCAATTGATTTTGCATATTCACTTTGTATCCTACAACCCTGATACATTTTCTCATTGGTTCTAGTCTGATTTTTTTGTAGATTCCTTAGCATTTTCTCTGTATATGACCATGTCATCTGTGAATAATAATTTCTGTGAATGACCATGGGGAACAATGAATATGGAATATTACCAGAGAAAACAATCAAAATTGATAAACTTGGATGGCTCATCTAAGCTGGAAGCCTAGCATTCTGAACTAAAAATAACACCCTGTCCTTAATCAGGCTTCTAGAAATAAATGCAGTCTGGCTTTTTATAGCTTTGACTGCATTTCATTCATGCATTCATTTATTCACTCAGCCATTCAACAAAAACTTACTGGGCTCCAACTACGGACCAAGCATTGTGCTAGGCATAGGGGACTCTGAAAGAAAACAATCTGGGCCCAGTTTTCAAGGAGCTGAAATTCTTTGGAGAGCAGGCACATGGTAGGGCATGGTAGTTAAGCGCATGATCTTTGGAGTCAGCCCTGGGTTAGGTCCTGATTCATCTACTCTGTCACAATGTCACCTTAGGTAAATCATTTTACCTCTCAAAACTTCAGGTGAGAATAACAGTGCTGACCACACAGAGTAGTTGTAAGGATTGGGTGAGATAATGGAAGGAAGAATTTGGTTCTAGTCTTGACTTTCAAGCTCTAAGTAAATGGTAGCTACTGTCGACAGCAATAGAGTAAGGTTAGGGGGATACCCGAGCATGGGGACCCAAAGGAGGATTATATATTTGATCTCTTTAAAGGGCAATATTTTCCTGTTTTTTAAAAGTGCTTCTTTTATTCTTATTGGCAAAATTACCATTAGTTAAACTTACTAAAAAAAAAAGTTCTTTTTTTTTCTGCAACCTTATATTTTTTCCTTTTTCATTACACCCTTGATTCTCCCAGTTTCTTTGTCTAAATACCACCCACACACACACACACAACCACACACATATACACACCAAGAACTTAAATACTAAACCTAAGAGTCAATCCTTTGATCAATCCAAACCTTATAATTATGGAATAAAAATGTTATTTAGTAGAAAAGCAATAGAGATAAGAGGACAGAGCATAGAGTTTTTCAGATCTGGGTTTAAATTATAACCTTGGACAGAAACTTACTCTCTTTGAACTTGGTCTCTACACCTATAAATGGGGACAATCATAAGAACTGCATGAGCTCAGAACATAACAACATTTAAAACAAGTATTGATTTCCTTCCTCTCATCAACATTTAGTATCTCTAGTTATTTAATCTAGGGGTCTGCAAACTTTTAGACCTCAGGACTCTCTTACACTCTTAAACATTAAGACCCCAAAGAACCTTAGTTTATGTGGATTATATTCAGCAATATTCACCATATTAGAAAGTAAAATTGAGAAATTTAAAAAAGTAGTTATCAATTTATTTAATAATTATAATAAGAAATACACTGC